TCTCTCTCTCTCTCTCTCTCTCTCTCTCTCTCTCTCTCTCTCTCTCTCTCTCTCTCTCTCTCTCCTGTTACTTGCATGCACTTATGCACACACACACACACACACACACACACACACACACACACACACACACACACACACACATCTGAAGAAAGGCAAATAAAATGCTATTGAGTTGCAATTGTCTAATTTTTTTTATTGCTATATTTGATGATATTCTCCAGGAGGCTGCTATTGCACTAATGTACCTCTGTTTTTTAAGGTTTGGTTACTCTGAAGCAGAGCACATCTGTAGTAGAGCTGGTGATGCTGCTGTGTTCTCAGGAATGGCAGAACTCCTTGCAGAAACATGCTGGGCTGGCTTTTATAGAGCTGGTCAATGAAGGAAGGTAGATATAGAGCAAAATATTGAAGAAGTTATTCAATAAACCTGGTCATAAGTGTCCAGCTTGGGCTCACTTGGTTAATTGTGTATAGGTTTGGGAACTATAAAAGCAAATGTTACTAAAACTTGTTTTTTTTTAGGAAAGCTAAGTGACAGATTCTTGAGTCAAGTAAAGCTTAAAGCAGTATATGATTTTAGCATTTGACAGAAGTGGGGTGGGTAGGATACCCTGTTTGTACTGTCATCTCTTCAAATCACCTGTATTGTATACATTTATCATTTCCTGTGTATTTTCCAGATTGCTGGCTCATGCTACCAGGGACCATGTGGTGCGTGTTGCCAATGAGGCAGAGTTTATTCTGAACAGAATGAGAGCAGAGGACGTGCAGAAACATGCAGAGTTTGAGGTATGGTTGCCATATACAGGTGTGTAGCCTTCACAGTTTAAGGTATAGCTGTCATATACAGGTGTATAGCCTGTAGAGTTTGAGGTATAGTTGTCATACGCAGGTGTATAGCCTGCATAGTTTGAGGCATAATTGTCATACACAGTTCCATAACCTGTCAATGCATCATGTTGTAAATGTATTTCATGTGCTGCTATAATTATCAGTTGTTTCTTTGGTTTATTCCTGTAAAGTGATTGAATAAAATTAAAACTTGAAAAATGATAAAATTTCTGCTGTTGGTTTCAGTCATTGTGTGCTCAAAGCATGCATGAGCGGCGCGAGGAGGAGAAGTTATGTGACCACCTGATCAGCTCAGCCAGGAGGAGGGACCATGTCATAGCTACCAAATTGAGGGACAAAGTCATCAACATTATGACCAACAAACATGGTGCTTGGGGCTCTGAAGACCAGAGGTGGGTGGATAGTGGCAGTTACTGTTCTGTTGGCAGCTTTTGTAGGCCAGGAAGCTATTTACTCTTGACTTCATATATTTCTAAAATGTTATTACTTATGTATCTGCCTTGAATGAAGCCCATCTGCAGTTGAGTTAGGAGATCATTCATTGTAGATTCTATGCGTAACAATTACATCTGGAAATAATTGATAAATAAAAGCCAGGAAGGAGTGTATGTGACCTACAAGTTTTCATAAAAAAGCCTAACAATAAGTAAATTTTACACTCCCTGTAACTTCTACAATTTGGACAAATTTGTTCTAAATTTCTCTAGGCTACAGAAATGGTGTGTTGTTTTTTCTCCTCCAATAGTTTTCACTATCTTATCATATTGCCCTTTTTTTTCTATACCTTTATTGTTTCCAACAATTTTTGCTTTTTGGGGATAGATTTTTTTATGAAAAAAAAAAAATGGAGAAGTGAGCATGTGAGGTGTATAAAGTTTGTTTTTTATTACTATAGATCACTTTCATGCCAACGTAATGAAAAAAAATGGAAGAGATCTTAATAAAACATTCAGTGATTAAGCACCAGTACAGGGCAGGAGGATCTATGAATTTGTACAGACTGTCCACTACTGCATTTGACTTGAATTTCATGATATTCATTGTAGTGGCCAAGAGTTCTGGAAGTTGGACTCGTGGGAAGATGATTCTAGACGACGGAGAAGATTTGTCAGAAATCCGTATGGTTCCACACATCCTGAGGCTGCCCTTAAAGCCGCAATAGAACATGGTAAGATTTGACAGAAACTTCATGTTGTATCCAGGTGACAGTTATCTCTGTGGAACTAAGTGCAATGGAATTGTGCTGTTAAATTTCCCTTTAGATGAAGAAAAACTATTTTTAAATTTTAAACTTTTTAAAAATAATATAGTGTAGTATGTTGAACCCCATAGTGACATTTCTTATTCCACATGCATTAATTCTGAATCAAACACCCCTCCTCTCCTTTCCTCCCCTCCAGGGGCTGCTGAGGATGCTGTGAACTCAGCACGGGAGGCTCTCCATGCACACCTGGCCGCCATGCAGCAGAAACAGCAGCAACAGCCAGACTTTACTGATGAGGAACTCATGGCAGTGGACGAGAAAGAACTAGAGATTGAATTTGCAGGTAAGATCAGTTTTGTTTGTTGTAATAAAACAATATTTTCAATGAATTGTTCTTGCTGAAATTTATTATTGTTTAAAGCCAATCTTTAACACATTTCTGTGTCTTAAAACACCTGACTGATTTTCATTTGTACTATTTTGCTGATAAAATTATGAAGCATCTAAGCCAAGTCTGCCTTACAAACCATAAGCTACCCATTGCTGCCTCCTCTCTTCTCCCAGCCATGATTGGTCGGTACAGCCAATGAAAGTAAAGTCACAGAATTCATACCAATATACAAGTGCATTTTGAAAGTTTTAGGAAGATAGCCAAAGAAAAAAACTTATCCAGGAAGTGCTTTTTTGCTTACCATCCTTAATTTATTTCAAAACAGTTTATCAAAAACATGTAATTTTACATAGCCACAGAGGGTCATTTTTATCAGGTTAGTCAGTATGCTTTATAGTGAGGGCTGTGTTTATTACCATAGGTCCTGTAGCTTTGACCACTCCCTCCAAGCTAGTGGCCCCAGGGGTGGTCATCAACGGCACCATGTCCATCACTAAGTCTGAGCTCTACTTCGAGCTTGATGAAGAAGATGCCAGCAATAAGAAGATTGACCAAAAGGTAAGTCAAGTGTTCTTGTTGTTGAATCAGTTGGAGTTATTTTTGAGTGTTTTGTTTTGGTTTTCTCTTTGTCTGCATGACTTGAGTGAGTTGACAGCGTCCTGGCTATGCACCCATGTTGTGTTAGGGGAACATAATTCAGTTATGGCTGAAAAATGGTTGACATTGTGAATATTAACCCTTTGCTTATGAATATGATAATATTCTAAAGAAAAGCATTTTTACAGTCAGTATGCTAGTTTCTTTAGATGAATTAAAAATATTTTTCTCCATAAACTAAAAGGAATGTTGTTGAACAAATAACTCTGCTTTATAATTAGGAAATTATGAATGATTATTGCAATTAATTTACTAATACCTTCTCTTTTTCTGTTACAATATTATGTTGAATAGGATAGCATAGCTTTAAAATCTAAAATAAAAATCATGTTAAAACAGTTTATCTACTGATTGCATCTGTTGAGATTGGTCTGGCTGCGACAGCCATTGTGTTCAAGCATGCTCCAACTGGTTCATATCAAACTTGCATGCAGTACTTACCAGTTCCAGACTGAACAATTCAAATCCAACTCAGTGTAATGGAGGATATCCATCACTCTGTTCTCTTGTTCTCCAGTGCCAGGTTGTGTAGTGACACCTGTCTGTCACTGCTGCCATGACAACTGGTTTATGGAGAGCAAAATGACTCCATATTTTAGCCGCAATCCTACAGGCAGCATGACTCACCACGGGGTTGTCTGCTTTCCTCCCTTTTTCTTGCTGTTCTTAAATTCATTTGAGATGTATGACTTAAAAGTAATCCACATACTTTTTTGTTCTAATATATCAGTGACTGCTAATTGAATAGTTTTCTCTAGCGCAGGTGATTTGGTGATAGCAAAATGAGTGATGAACTGCTTATTTTTCAGGGACTTTCGTCTGTTTTAGTGAAAAAATTCATTGACTGAATTATTTGAAAATGATGTGGAATGTTTCCATTCGTGGAAAATTTAATCTAACTTGCTATTATATGTTATTATCTATTAATATTTATTTGAAAAGTATATTGATGCCATTGGCATGTTGCATTGAAATTGTAAGATATAGGGAACCGAAATCAAATATGGCATTTTGAATGATTTGAAATTACACATCAAGTTTGAAATGTTGTTACTGTATTATTTCTTTAGCATTGGTTGGAGCTTTGTTGTCATATATCTATCCATTTTATATTTAGATAGCACATTTGTGTCCAAAAGACATGTTGCTTCTTTTTAAAAACTTACAACCAAAGAAGAACCCTAGGACAATTTTTTTTCAGTTAGCAAAATGCATGGGATGCTTGTAACCACACAGTTGGCTGAAGCCAGTTGAAAAAAGTGACATCAAAATGTCATTATTTAAGTCATTTCAAACATTGGGACTTCATGCCGGCATGGTTAGTTAGCACTGAAAATTGTTGCTGTCTTTTTCAAAAAAAAAAAAAAAAATCTGTTATTGGTTAGTTTTAGGAAAAGTCAGTTGTAAGGGCCCAAGAACCAAAGGTGGTTTTAATAACTAGCAACATTTACAACAAGACTAAATGTCTAGTATGTTATTATATGTAAGTTTAATTATTGGAAAATAATAGGGAAATCTTTACATTAAACAGTGTTCTTAATTCCTTCATAGGAAAATATTTACATAAAATGGTGTTCTTAGTTCCTTTATACCTTTATATTTAACTAACTCGAAAATATCATGAATGGACAACAATGTAAATATTGTTTTTTTCCAATTGTTTTTTAAAAAGAAAAACACTTCTCTTATCACATTATGGTTATAAATAATTTTTATTGAGTAAGTAATGGCGTCATTATTGAACTATACCTGTTGTAAAATTCACAATTTGTCATTGGATTTTGCAATGCTTAGCTATAGTTATAACAGAATACAGTTATTATTCTTAGCTATTTTAATTAAAACTGGTATATATATTCAACATTTTTGAATGGCTAAAAATAGCGTACCAGAGATCTGTTTATGACAGACAATAAACAAAATTATTGATATTTTGTATTATTTTCATCGCTTCACGGTTTTTATCATTACTTTACCATATCAGAAGAGGGGGAAAGTTCAGTTTTCTTTTCAGTTTCCTCAGACCCGCCCATGACACATTTGCTAGCTATTCAAACTGGAGCTGTGTGTGGTAGACGCAGTTCCAACTATGCGCCAGCATGTCGGCCTTGCCCCTTCCAAGTCATTTTATTGCGTTTTAAAAATGTCACATTTCGCGTCTTGTGTCGTTCTGTTTGTGTGCATTCTTGCTTTCAGTTGTTGAAGCAAAGAGAAATTGATCACCAATCGCTGAAACCCAATAGTTTTAATTAGCTTCCCATCTGACCTCGACCGCTTTGTCTTCATAATGCCAGACGGGGCTGACACGCTGGGCTGTTACACGCCGGGCTACTTTACATTGTTTTCCTTGGGATATTTTTTTATTAACTTACGGATTGCAGCAGACATACAATGCAATTATTTATAAACAAAGTACTATCGACTTGGAGACGGCACTCGCTGATAATAAAATCAGACAGTTTGATTAGAGGGTTTCTTTGAAATCCAGCGACCTTTGATAAAAAACAAAAAAGGCTGGATTGATCTTGATTACGTTTTGATTAAGATGATTGAATGGAATTTAAATTATTTATCTCGAAGACTGGGGCTATGCATCATTAGGAAAGTGGTTCAGGGTTTGTCAGATTAAAGGGCGTTCCATGCCAAGGCGAAATGATAAGGCGTGAATAAGGCGAGAGGCTAAAGGGCACGAAAGTGGTCTGTTTATTTTTATTTTAAATATTGATTTTTTAAAAACTATGTAACTGTTCTTCCCTAAATATATAGAAAATGCTATTTATATTATTTTCCCAGTGCACTCCGACGTTGTTTTATAAGGTAATGGCGGATGTAATAAAACTTAAGAACATATTTGTGCTGACTTTCCTACCGCACGTTTCATGAATAGTTCAGAAATCAAGTGGCCTCATCATTAGCTTTCACCTAGAATTTGAAAGGCATTTGATTAACGCGTGTAGAAATTGGTACAAACGGGTCCCGCTGCGAGCGCTGGCCAGCGGCGCCGACATCGAGCAAAAATGTACAAAATTGTCGCATCCCAAAGTTCACTATAGGACCGTCTGGCGGAGTACTCAGACCCTAGTGCTTGTCGTCCGAACATGAACAGTATTTTATCATGCTGGGACGAAAGTGGTCGTCGCCAATACACCGTAAAATGTATTTTAAAGTGTAGATTTTAGGTCATCGTGCGCTTTTGATCTTTAATATTCCCATATTATAAACGGAAATGTGCGTGCACTCGATACAACAAAATTAATTCATATGAACTATACCCGAAAAAATGGTAGTTTGAACATTTTAAATTTTAGCGTTTCGAAACATTTTTCCTCTAGATTTATTTTCTAAGCATTACGTTTTTTTAAAGCAAGCATCGGTCGTTTGAAGTGACCCCGTTTTTAAATAAGAATATGTGAACACCGTTGTATCAACAAAGGAAAACAGGGCACCAGTATTCATGCTTCAAGTCGATTTTCAGCTAGACCTTTTCTCCCCATATCTCTCGGGACAGATAATGTATGGATATTGTTTACGTTGGCATGGCAACGAGTAATCCGTGTTGTCAGTTGCATCCAGTGGCGTCTACCTCGGCCTAGAAAGCGCACGAATATACAAGAATGCAAGCTGCTTTCCGGGGATAGGTCTCCAGATTTAACTGTGCTGAAAATGAGAGTAAAGAATTGAAACATTTTTGAGTTTTGAAAGCAGTTAGATATACTCGAGGTGAATCGTTACCTGGTTTGCTTTGCTAACTGGAAAGTTGAAAGTTAAATTTTCTGCTTTGAGGGACTGGCATATTGGGCTCGACCTCGTTTAATAATAATAAGAAGAAACGGTTTTGAATTATTTTAATTTTTCCTAATCGAGGAAAATATAAATATGATTAAAATATATTTATGTGATTAAAGTAAATATTTTAGATGGAAATACACCAAGAATAATTGCAACTATGACAACGTAAGAACAGGTTTCTTGCGGAACTGATAGCTTTGAGAAATATATGATTCTTAATATGTTTCTGTTACGAGGATGAGATATATGAAAAACATAATTTTGCCAAGACTGATATGACAAGGCAACAACTTTAGGCTGCTTTGAAGACGCTGTAGAATATAAAACCATTGTCGTATTAAAATACGATCTAGCCCAGTGACACAAGCTTGCCAATGGTATTTGTCACGCACGTTTACCGGTAACGGCACGCCTTGCACTGTCTTACTGTAGTGTAGATATATCTCTAGTCGATATACATATGGATGCCCTTGGATGTAGTCTGTATTTTACAGGGTCGACTGTAAAGAAATATATGTTAAAAGATAGATTTCTATAAAAGGCCGGCACAAGACTCGTGTTTATATCCTGAATGCACGAGTTTTGCATGACGGATATGTATGCTCATTTTAGACGTAGCGTTAATAATCAAATTTATTTATCAAATGGATCTTAACCAAGGTCATGTTGAGGCTGATGTCTTGTACAATATATGAGCAAATCCTGCGAACATCTGAATAACAAATGAAATGTCTGTTATTTGTCTGTTACAAGCGTAAGAAGTAACTTATTAGCATCACCCTTCCTTACATAAAAAAAGAATTCGGTTATTAAAAAATGTTCTCCTCTCTATATCTCTTTTATTGGACAATGTTGCTGTTAAAACAGATTGTCTTGCTTGTCAACCAAGAAATGCGCGCAAATTTTGGTCGCTGCACTCGCCCCCACAGTAAAAAAAGAAGTTGAAACGCACTTCGTGCGACAACCATAATTTGTGTGTGCCTCGTGGCCTCCAGTATATTTGTGGATGAATTGACCTCCTAAATACGCCATAAAAACATTTTTCGATCCTTGACACAACACTGTTTAAGATAAAAAGACTATGGGTGTTTAAGATATATAGTATAATTTTG